AAAAAAAAAAAAAAAAAAAAAAAGCTGCTGGGGGAAGACCAGCAGACTCTGTTGTCTCCAGGGCACAGGTGAAGAACCATTGTAGCTGGGGAAAAAGAAAAGACAAATCTCTCTACTCCTGGGGGAGGTGTAGGAAACCATCCTGAGGACCATTAGTCTCCTTCAGCTGGGGAAGAGACAGGATCACTGAGAAAGTCACGCCCAGGAGACCCAGGGACCCACGGCCTACCTAAGGCCGAGGCTGGATCAAGACAACAAAGAATCCCCCCCACCCGGGGTCCCCACCACCAGGCTAGCAAATATGTAGTAACAAGCAATAGCAGTCTACTGCTAAGGGAGGGGCTAGAGCTTGGAGAGAGATCCACTATTTTATGCAAAGGCAAAGGGAAGGCAAAAGGCTGAGTGTGGAACAGGAACATTAAGAAAAACATTGGGACAACCTAGCATACACCCCAAGTACAAGGTAATAGGAGAAGAATTTGAAGCTGGTGAAAAAGAAAAAATATATGTATCACATCATTATTTATATACCTTGAACTTATAAAATGTTATATCTCAATTATATCTCAATAAAACTGGAAAAAAACAAAAAAATCCACAAAACAGAATAGAGTGTCCAAGAGCTGTGGATCAATACTAAATGGTCTAATATGTACATAACTGGAATCCCAAAGAAGAGAGAGATAATGGATCTGAAGAGATATTTGAAAAGATAATGGCTGAAAATTTTCCCAAAATAATGGAAGACATCAAATGACAGATTCAAGCCCAGAGGACCCCAATCAAGATAAATACCTAAAGACAAAACAAAATCCGAAATCCACAAACCTAGACACATTCAAACTACCGAAAACCAAAGATAAAGAGGAAAATCTTGAAGGCAGCCAGAGAAAAAAGACATTGCATTCAGAGGAACAGAGATAAGTAAGAGACATCTCACCCAAAACTAGATAAGCCAGAAGAAAAGGGAGACACCTTTAGAGTGCTGAAAGAATAAAACTGTCAACCCAGAATTCTAAATTCAGCAAAAATAGCCATCAAAAATGAAGGCAAAATAAAGACTTTTTTTTGAGACAAGCAAAAGCTGAGAAACGCACTACAAGAAATGTTAAAGGAAGATCTTCAGGAGGGAATATGATATTATAAGAAAAGTTGGATTTACACAAGGAAATGTTAAGATCTCTAGAAGGGGTTAAAATGAAGGTAAATAAAAAAAACATTTTTTCTTATTTTTCATTATTCTAAAAGATGACTGCCTAAATCAGGGGTCACTAAATTTTTTTCTACAAAGGACCCACATAGTAAATACTTTACGCTTTGAGAGCTATACAGTTTCTGTTGCAACTACCCAACTCTGCTGCTATAGCATGAAAGCAAAGACAATACATAATCAATTAAGTGTGACTGTGTCCCAATAAAACCTTATTTATAAAAATAGGTAGTAAGCCAAATTTTAAATCATAAAAGTATAACATTTAGGAGATAATTGGAAATTTGAACACTGACAAGATATTTGATATTAGGGAATTATTAATTTTTCAGATGTACTAATGATATTGTGGTTATGTTCTTTAAAAACAGAATCCTTATCTTTTAGAGACAGTTATTAAATATTTACTAAATCATTACTAATGATGCCTGGGATTTCCTTCAAATTAGTATAGAAGGGAAGTGGGTAGGGCTATAGAAGAAAGAAGACTGGCCGTAAATTGATAATTATTGAAGGCTGGGTACATGAGGGTCCATTTTACCAAACTACTTTTGAATATGTTTGAATTTTTTTTAATAAAAAGTTAAAAAACAAACACTCCTAATTTTAGGGGCCACCTAAGTTCTTTTCTATTCCTGCCCTCCCCAGCTAAAATGAACCAGAATATAGTCAAATCTCTAGATCTTAGAGTTTACAGAAAATATGTGGCTAGAGGAACATACTAAAAATACCACAAGGATATAATCAGCCAAATACAGAAAGTGGAGAATTCTGCAAAACAAATGACTGAATTTAAACAAATAAATTACATTAAAAAGAGGAGACCAGATATATAAAAAGAGACTTAAGAGACTTATTAACCAAATACAATTTGTTGACCTTGTTTGGATCCTGATTTGGACAACTGTAAAAACACTTTTTCTTTTAGAAAATTGTGAGAAGGTGAAGAGAGACTAGATGATATTAAGGAATTATTAACAAAGAAAACAAAGAAAAAGTCCTTACTTGTTAAGGAAACATACTGAAGTATTTACAGGTAAAGTGATATGTATGCGATTTGCTTTAAAACACTCAGAAAAAATCATGAAAGACAAGGAAAGACTGAAGAACCATTACAGATGGAAGGAAGCTAAGGAAAAATAACAACTAAATGCAATGTGAGATCCTGGGTAAGATCCTGGAAGAAAAAAGGACATTAGTGGAAAACCTGATAAAATTCAAATAAGGAAAGTAGTTTAGTCAACAGTGTTGTACCAATGTTAATTTCCTGGTTCTGATCACTGTACTATAGTTATGCACCATGGTAACATTAGAGGAAGCTGGGTGAGGGATATACAGAAACTGTACCATTTTTGCAACTTTTCTGTATGTCTAAAATTAGTTCAAAATAAAAAGGTCAAAATAATACTCCAGAAAAAAATGC